TTTCAATGCGGACTTCATTAGTTGAAGTACGTAATGAAGAAGAACCGATTGCGCTTTTGTCCCCATTAAAGAGAGAGAAAACAAATGGTTCCAAAGACAACACAAGACAACTTTTAAATTAAAACAAAAACAATGAAAATGCATGCAAACATGGTAGGTAAGAAAAAATTTCCTTTTAACACTCGGGGTGACGATTTTTGCAAAATTTTGAAATCTTTTGGATTAAAAGTTTTGGAAACATTTTGAAAATAAAATATCACGTTCAGTCGAAATGAAAAAGATATAAAAAAAGAAAAAAAAAGGCAAAAAACCAGACCAAAAAATAGCTAGAAGGGTGGGGCGAAAAGACCAGGCCGGTTCATCAAAGAGAATTGGCAAAACCAACAGTCAAACCAGTTCAATTGGTCAACCTCTCGTTGTGACTAATTTTCAACAAACACAGGTTTAGTGCCCATACCGGACCGCATGGGTCAGGTCATCGATTTTGCCGGACCGTTCGTTCGGTCTGTTTTTTATAACCATTACTCGACAACTAATGCTAGCCAAGAATGAACATTTGCCCAGTTGACATTGGCTGCTCTCATTATATAAAATATCATGTATGACGTGGTCCTATAGGAGCATATTATACAAGAACTCCCTATAGCAAAATATCTACTTGGATGATATTTTTAATTAGTTGGACTGAATTTTGTACTATATTTTATATTTTTTAATTATTTATTTTATAAACTATTCTTTTTATATTTATTGATCTTTTTAAATATGATCTACCTAATTCACTTGACAATCATTCAAATTTTGATTCACCTCTTATAGGTTTGATAGTAGATCTAATGTTGATAACTATTATGATCGTGATTTTTTGTGGTCTTGTATAGGGTTGGCAACAGGCAGTACCCGAACCAATGAATCCCCATTGATTTGCTCTGAGCCAAGCCATAGGACCCTGGCCAAACCCAGCCTAGTTCTGGGCTGGCCATCTTGTCATTCTAATCCTCCATCCACATACGGAATCAAAAAGGCGAAGGAAAATATATACAACTAGAAAGCTAGTGACCTAAATTCTTAGTCCTTTTGTTTTGAGAAAAATAATATTTAGACTGGGGTGTGGTTTGTACAAAGCTAACACCTAAATAATCAAAGTAGGTCGTACGTTTAAATAGAGTTAGAAATCTTGATGATGACCTAAAAAATTTTAAAGTTTAAATATTAAAAAAATAACGGAGATCATGTAGAACTATGAACACTTGAAAATTACCGGTCTATATAATATATTACAAAATGCACTTTTTTTTAGACTTAAAATATATTTTTTCTTCTGCCCATAAATCTTAAGGTTTTGATGATTGAATTGAAGGTTTTTCAGCATCGAAATAACTTCTTTTTGTGAATTTTTAAAGCACGCTTTAATTTGATTGGTTAGGGCCTTGCCCTTATATAAACGTTTTCCTTTAGAAAGACGTTCAGAGATAACATAATCAAATGGAAAGATTAGGATTGAGAAAATGAGGGAGAGCACCATAAAAAAAGTTGGGAGAATCAGAAACTGTCACGAGATAATAAAATCAAAAGAAAGATTAGGATTGAAATTATAGAATCAAAAGAAACATTATAAAATCAAAAGAAAAGATTAGGATTGAATGAGGTAGGGCACCAATAGAAAAGAATGGAAGCATGTGCAGCATGCGAATGCTCGGTTGTCCAAGCACGCCAAAAGGCCGATCATAGCTTATTCCTGCGGGATTAAACTACAGGAAAAATTACAAATAACCCTCACGACTACATTTTCTATGTAACTTATCTCGACCTAAGTTTTTTTTTCATTTTTTTCTCCCAAAACATATTTTTTCTGCAAATACCCCCAAATAAAATAAAATAAAAAAGTAAAAAAAAAAAAGAAGACGAAACTACCTCCCTTTCTTTTTACCTTACCCTCGCCTCTCTCTCCTCATGTTTTATGGGCGGTCTGGCAGTGTGCAGCTGCGGTCTGGTAGGTCACTGTGGCGGTCCGGTAGCAGAAGTTATTGAATCAAAAAGGGATCTGACGATCATAGAGCCGTTCCGGCAGTTTACATGTACGGTTCGACGATTGGGAAGTTCAGTCCAATAAATGTTTTCTTGTCAACATGGGGTCCGCCTGTTGACAAGTTCGGTCCTACAGAAATGACATGGGTCCGGCGGTGTACTAGTGCAGTCCGACAATGTGCTATTGAGATCGGTCAGTCAACATTAATATCCGGTCAAAATGCTTTTTTGTGTACGAGTAGGGCATTTTCATCTAAAAATATTAACTTTTTGAATTTTGGGGGAAGGGGGGGGGGGCGTTATTTGCATAGAAAATATAATTTGAGGGAAAAAGTGAGAGAAAATTAGGTTGGGGGTATTTACATAGAAAGTGTACTCTTGAGAGGTTTTTTGTGATTTTTCCTAAACTATACGTTTGTTCCCTCAAGCGAACCAAGTCTGGATAATGTGCTTAAAATAAAGAGATCAAAACTTTAAATAAAGTAGCTCATCAGTCACAACAACCCTGTTGGGAGTTGTCTTTTCTAAACACTCCTAGAAAAATGAATAATCTTTCCATGACAGCTGACTTTCCATAGCAGCTGATTGTGTTTGGTATTGCACTTGGAGAGAGATGTTGTAGTGCTAGTGTGCTACTCATCTTGCTTAGAGCATCTCATGTAGAATTGTACAGTGAGAAATCTTAAAGCTATGCTTTTATGAACTACCTACAATTTTGTCGGTTCTGTTAGGAAACCTGGCTTTTACCCAGAGACCTTGGTTCAAATCCTGGCAATGGAAAAATTTTAAAACTCTTAATCGAAATAAACTTTTATGACCTTATAATGTCCTTTATCTAGAAACTTTATGCTAATACCCCTTATAATTAGAATCTTCATATATTGCATTATACGCTTGTGTCACTTTTTTTTTTTTCCGCAAAATAATTCTCAAAACATTGCTATCAGTTTTGGATCTCATCTGCAATTCCAATGACTGGGTTGGGACAAATTCTCTCCAACTACTATGATCTGTCCTTTCATCTTTTGCAAGGAATCAAAGCAATCTAAAGTTGTGAACTATCAGTTTCAGAATGTATTGATTTCTTATCACGAGCGGTTCTAAACCAATATAGTTCAGGACCGATTCGATTTCTCTTTTTTTTTTTGACAAAAATGTTACTTGATATAAGTGAGATAAAATTAAAAACCACATCCGACGGAATCATAAATTGCATCAAACATTCAAAACATTAGAAATAACAAGTGACTGCTCAAAATGACCACGTTTAGCTAATCCATCAGTCACGTCATTAGCTTCCCTATAGATATGTGAAAATAAATCTCGAGCCTAAAAGCTATATCTATGACCTGCCTCCAAAGAATCCTTGAAAGGAAATCTTGAGCCTGGAAGCTATATCCATAACCTGCCTCCAAAGAATCCTTAATGTTCAAGGGGATGCAGAAATATAATTGCACCGGTTAAGAACACAAGAGAATCACCCTTTACAATACAATAGCCACTTCTCTGCCTATCATTTAAGAAACCTCAAGCCTTGTAAGAACCCGGACTAATAGTTCTGGACTGCTTCGATTCCTTACAATGAGCGATCTGGAGCTTATAGTTCTAGTTTGGGCTACTTTGACTCTTTACAATGAGTGGTTTCAGATGATTCTCGTTAGATGAAACTAATTTGGAAGCATAAAGGAAAAGTTTTTTTTTCGAGTCAATGGCTACAAGAGCCCCGTGGTCTTTTACGTATGTGCCAAGCGCACCAGATCAGATAAGATATGGATAGTGCCACAAACATCCTTTAAAAGAGAGCACTTTGCAAAGCTGATTTTGCCTATAGGAGCGCTGCCGTCCATTTTTATAGATGGTGAGAATATGGCACCACACTGACTCTATTAGAGCCCTTGTGGTTCGCAACCGCAACCGCTCTAATCGTGCCGTTGCGGTACTATCACGAACATAACAAGTCCATGACGATCAAAAGGG